ATNNNTATATATATATATATATATATATATATATATATATATATATATCATATCATATCATATCATATCACATCATATCAATGTATCTGCTTGTCTACGATTATTAATTTCAATGATTGTCATGTAAGATCATGTAAGTTACCACACTATTGGGGTGCTAACCATTTCGTATCTCAAATTATTGATAAATTATTCTTTTTGAAATTGGAAACAGTTTGAAATTAACAAATATATCTCTCAAATATGTAAACAATTTTGAAACATTATTTAGAAATGATCAAATATTTGAAAATCAATAATTGAATCGGTATAATGGTTGAAAATTTTCGAATGCATATATCACGAGTAAATTTTGTTCCAAAAAAAAATGCAAAATTAAAAATATTATTAGAAAGGAAGGAAAAAAAAGGATGAAATGTTGAATTAAGTAAAATAAGGATATAATTCCAATTTTTTAGCACTATTTGTAGAAAATAATTTCCGGTAAGATTGTTTTTTTGCAAAAATTTTTGGATGACAAAGAACAATTACTTCCTGATCCTTTCGAAGGGTGGAGGAAGTGATAAAAAATGTTTGCATTATTTAAACCAAAATAGATAAAAGAGTGATATGATTGTTTTTATCATAATATATTCATTTTTCGTTCTCTTGTAAATAAGCTATAAAAGTTTCATTAAGAATTTTTTTTTTTCCCCAATTAGCTTCGATTTTATTCGTTTGTTCCGTATTGCTGAATGCAAATGATAGTCTTTAGACATAAATTTTGTACATATTAAATGTTCAATTCGTCATCTGAAAAATGATTTCCCTTGTAGAAAATCAAAAATGACACAAACGGAATCCTTAGAAATACACTTCAAAACATTTTAAACACTTCAAATTACATCAAATTTATGATGGATAAAAAGATGATGAAAAAGAAGAGGGGGGAAAAAAAAAGGATTCATTGATACGCTAGGAATGATCTGATATTATGGTACTTACAGTTATTTTATATAAATACTGAAATATTATGAAATTGAAAAATTAATTGCAATGAAAAACCGGTATAATATTGGGTTTAACCAAAGAAGAAGAAATAAACAACTCAATTTTATTCTCTCAAAAATTGCAAATGGTTTGAAATTAACAAACATATACGTCGAATATACACGTAAATAATTCTAAAGTACTATTTAAATATAATCAAATATATGCCGGATATATATGGTATTATCAGTTGAAATAATCAAAAATCGTATCATTTAAATTCCTTTAAATAAATTTTACCATTTTAACCAATGATTTACTTGTTTTTATCTCCAATTTATTAATTGTTCCTTTTCTCTTTCGTTTTCTTTTTTTTCTTTTTTTTTTTTAAATATTTCACAAGATTAAATAGAATTAATTGTAACAATAAAGGGATAAAATCATGTACGAATCTGAAATAATAAGCCGCATTAATTAATTATCGAATTTGATAACATTACCATTTATTCAGCAAAGTTGACATTTTGGACAAGCACACATAACGGTTATCACTCCGTTTAATCCATTTTCTACAAATTCTAATCATCTGGTTTCTATCGGCATGAGGTGAGACAGTATCATCAAGATTTTCATAAAGTTCTAAAAATATATACCTTGCCATTCTTTAACACCACCTGAACTTTGTTACCATACATGATCTTTGAACCCTGTCATTACCGGACTACGTACACCTATGCAAGCTCACTGAGCTTTCGTGGAAACAACACGTTGTGGTTTTCCGATTTGCATTGTGACACATTCGGAATAATCTAAAATGCGTTGTTTTCACACGTTGCTTTAATATCCATCATGGATTCGATGATCATACGGAGATTCCTGAATCTGAATTTTCCGGTCTGTAAGTGAAAGGTTTTCATTTTTAGAAGTAGGTTAGCAGAATAAAGTAGTTACTATTTAGTACATGGTTCAAGTAAGAGAGAAATGGTAAGGATTGAAATGAATGAGCGATTTCATTCATAAGAAGGCTTGCAAATAGCCGATTTATGTAATGAGAAAAGTAATTCAGAATAGAGTTAACATCATGACTAAAGAATTGCTAAAATTGTGGTATACTTACTATGTCATCAGTTAAATATAAGAGCACTGATTGACGAGTATCTTATCACTAATTAAAATACTGAAAATATGTTGGGTTAATATTATTTCTACAATCGGTATTTGTTCGGAAAATGGTAATGGGAATCCCCGTCATCCTTATTATTGAACTGTAATTTTGCTAAGGTATAATATTTAGAAAATTACCGATTCTCTATCCGATATATTCTATCAAATACTGGACATTTTTCTGGCACTTTCGGGTACTCTGCCATTTTCGGAACGTATTTATTGTGCTCATTACTTAATGGTAAACTTCATTTCGTTATTCATAATGCGTTTTTCTGGGAAATTAGTAATAGTAGTGTCGTTTTCCAGGCATCATTCGAGAAACCTGTGGGTTATGTGAATTTTAAAGTCGTGTTTGTTCAGGTTGGTGATGGAATTTGTTGTAATAGTTTCTTGAGGAACAAAGGTTACTTTGGACTATTATCCGATTTCCAGCTGTATTGATATCACAGAAATGAGATAGATTCAGTTTAGATTCACCATCGGTTTCGATTCAGTGGATAAGCTATCTTGGAAAATATTTTAAAATGTTTTTTTCGTGTTCAACGGGCAGATTTTGTAGAAATAATTTTAAGATTTCATCCAGAATTCCGGGAAAGCTCTGCCTCTTTGAAGACAACAAAGTAGTGTGATGAAAACAATCCTTTGTTTGTTCAGCAAGTTCTGTATTTCAGATTAGGCTATGAATACGTATCATTTTTAGTGACTTTATGGTACGGGTTACTTTGTTCCGTAATTAATATTAATATCGATTACAGCAATGGCACTTCTCGATTTGGATAATATAGCTCCACGTTTGGAAGGAAATTCAATGATTTCGATACCGCATTACAAAATTAAGGATGGTAAATACGCGGTAAACACATAATTTCTGTCGAAGAAAAAGTACAAATCGAACTTGTCATTATTCAAGAAAACGACCATCGAATTTTAAACAAATTGTTGGTCAAAAAAGTCTACATCATATGATGAAAATCCTACATCAGAATTTCCTGTAGTTTTCATCGTGATCAATAAAAAGTTCAGTTTTGGATTGAAAGTTTTTCTTTGTCAAATTTTAAGAAATTATTAAACTGCCAGTCTTCTTTCAAAAGAGATTAGTAATACAAATCAATACTTGTACCTAAATAATGACGCATTATGGAGATTGGCGTAATTCTATCATGCAACTCTCTAGGTCTACGTTATTAAAGTGGCGATCGATTCGATCATCTGGACTGTAGAAAGACGTTACAGTGATTTCGTAGCATTTGATTTACAACGATTTGAAGATCGCAAAAAATCATTTCTTCCACCAAAAAATTAGTTGGAAATTTGGTGAGATTTTTTCATCATTTTGATTCCTCTTACTGATGGTGTACATGTGTAGTAATATTTATATGAAATGAAACTTGGTTGTAAGGACGTATTGTATATATATTAATTCCATGCTTATCTTTGCATTTCTTAAGATTAGACTCTGATTTTCAAAATTATGTAACTAAATTGTTTATAAGATCATAACATCATCAACATTTTCACTGAACACTTGCATTAAATTGTCCACTGTAGAAAAGAGAGATGATGAATTTACCTAGGATTTGGAATTTCTGGATGAAAGAAGGATTGAACTCGAAAAATATATCCGGACTGTGGTTGAACTTGATCTGTGGTTACAGAGAAGGAGGAAACAATATGCACTTCCATCTCTCGTTGCTCATTTCCTTGATTTCCAGGAATATGTTAGTTGCAATTTCTCAAATTTAAATTTAATAAATGGTTTTGTTCAAAATAGGTCAGTGTGCATAAGCTGCAGGATTCCTTCTTCAGGACATCGGAAGAAAGAAATGTGCGAATTATCATATGTATACATGAGCCTGCTGAGGGTTTTGAAGGTGGATACAGATGGCGTAAAGGTGAAGTATTGTGATTGGAACGTGGGTTTGAAAAGTTCAGAGTCGTTTAAGCGTTAAGGCTTGCTGCATGACGAAAGTTTCCGTGGGTGATTGATCTAGTCACCATTTCGGTACCAATACTTTTAGTAGATGGGGACTTGGAGTGAACTGATGGTCCGATACTTTCTATAGTAAATGTTTATCCAGATATTTTTTTTAGCGTAGCACTTGGAGGAATTAATGGTATAAAGAGTGGTATATTCAGTATTTTATCTGTACATTTCATGGAAGAGATAAAGTTGTATATAGTAGTGAAAATACAGTGATAGTAGTAGAAATGCAGGTGTTGGTTGTAAAAAACTAAGAGGTGGTGTAAATTTGATGTTTTAGTTGCTGAACCGTGCATTCCGAATACCTCTTCGAAGTGGTTCTGATTAATATTGAGAATAAACAATACTATACATTCTGTATAGTATTATTTGTTCTCAAAATTAATATTATAATCCAGGTTACCCAGGATTTTTGAATTTATAAGTTTTCATTAGCATGCACTATATATAATGGTATATATATATCATGTATNTATATATATATATATATATGTATACNTATTATATACA